AATTTTTACCCATTCATTTTCGACGGATTAGTCCTACCTATTGTTTACTCCAAAGGGATGAGTTATGCTTCACATAAGCCGTTAAGTATGCTCCTCATTTTTTTCATTTTTTTGTTAAAACAATTCTACTTAAATAAAACATTTTTGTATTAATTAATTTTATTGTTTTTAGAATACAATTATCCTCATTTGAAAAGTTAAAAATCCTATTTATTAATATTTCTATTCGTAAATAATGGTAATATGTTGAATTTTACATTATTCGCATACCTTACTTTGATTAAATTATACTCCATCTGTCACACAATTAAGTTTCTAGATGCATTTTTTGGTCAAATTTAATAAACTTTGACAGTTTATTATTCATAATTTACATTACACTATCATACAAAATTGATTTTATATATTTTATTGGAATATATATTATTCAAACATTAATTTATACTCCATATTAGATTTTATAAATATGGATTTATAGATACTTAGGATCAAACGTCCACCCTAAAAGACCGTAAAAGTCAAACCAGAAACTTAATTGAGGTAGAGAGGGAGTACTACTGATGGAGTATATTCCCCTATACCCCAAGGGTATCATAATCGCCGACATTCACATCACGGATCCATCCCGGAGTGCATAAAGATACTAAGTCCACAACTGGGACCGACCCCGACCCCGACCACCAAGGTCGAGACAAAGCGTCAGGCAACGAAACAAGCTAAGGACCGAAGACCAGCCGACCCGACCCCCGACATCGACCCCCTCGAGGTTGGGAAAATATCAAGCTCAGGAACCGCTCAAACACGACAAGTTATGAGCCCGACCTCTAATGCATCGAGCTCAGCACCAACTCTGACATCGGGCGTCAACGTAAAGTCAACCAGAGTCAAACAAAGGAGTCAACGATCTCAAAGACGGTGTCACGCCCCGGACCTACCCGGACACGTCAACAACCCGCCGTACAGTACGAATAGTCAACCGCAGTCCGACTCATCCATACTATACAAGGTGTCTTGAATACCATTCACACATAGTACATCCATAAACAAACATAGTGTAAAATAAACATTTATAGCAGCAGAACATTTAACGTAAGTGTTTATGCCACACCTCGGCAATCATGGGCGTACAAGCCCCCAAATAATTATTCAAAAAGATAATATCCATGAGCATTATTTAAGTTGTTTCAAAACAGAAACGGAAGAAGCACGAACCACGCCTTCTCCCTTTGATCTCCCCGAAGCAACGGGCGGTGGCAGCAACCTTCAAGTTCTACCTGAAACTGTGAGGTGGCCTCCCCCGTGAAGGGGAGGTCAGTACTTGGAAATATTTGACAAGTACAATAGCAACTATACTAAGTATAATTGATGTTTTAATTTCTAAGACCCTCGACTTAGGGTACTATTATATTATAGGCCATAACCCTCGGTTACCCCTTTTTCTTTTAACTGTACTTACTTTATATAGAGTCAAGTAGTCGGCCCGTGGGCCCATATTCATTTAGAATTCATCATTTCTATTCCCCCGTGACCGCAAATCACGATAACCCCGTGGGGTCCCATCGAGCCCCAGTTGTATAGCATGGGCTCGGCCCAACTACATTTCTATACAATCCTCTAATTCAATATAACATATCAAAATTTGCATGGCAAGGGCTCGGCCCAACTACGTTTCCATACCAACCATAACTTCGTGGCAAGGGCTCGGCCCAACTACGTTTCCACGGAGATCACATATACATGGCAAGGGCTCGGCCCAACTACGTTTCCATGTTAATCATATTACATGGCATGGGCTCGGCCCAACTACATTTCCATGTCATCCTAGAGTCCAACTCTAATTATCTTCATAATCAAATTCTCAAGCTAATCCTATGCCTAGAATAAATTCCCGTAGGTGGCCTTTAGGCCTACCCCTATCACACCTTAGTGTTCATACGATTCAACCTTAAGTATCTCTTGAGACTACTTAAGGCATATCTATTCACAATCCTACCTCTTAGGATTTGTTTCACCATTTATTTATATAAATTCCCCGACTAGTATTTTGATACTAATTGTATAATCTTAGAACATGCCAAGTTCCTATTTTCCATTTGGCATTTCATTTCAATTGATTTCCCAACCCAAGTATAGTTTGATCTCAATATCAAAAATATCACTTTAATCCATTCATGAATTTTCATACATGAAGTAAAGTATATTTTATCACAATGTCATCATAGTAATTCCATTAACATGTCGTTCCATTCAATTCACATAATCATACACAATTATTCTAAATTTGTATATCATGCTTCACTTACTCATATCCATATTATTTTCATTTAGGCATTATTAATCATTAATAATCCATGAAAATCCCATCTAATTACTTTAGGCAATCTTATGAAATTAACCCACTAATTATAAGCAATATAGTCAGCCATCCTCACCTCGTGATGTGCTACAATAGTTGCCTTTGTTAAGCCCCTCGATATATCCCCGTTCTAGGCCGATTGAAAATGAGAAGTTGGATTTCTGGGCCAAAGCCGGGCGGCTTTCACGAAAGTGGCGGTTTCCGGCGATTTCGACTCCTATCGATTCACCAACTCTTCTAAGTTAATTAACACCACTTTATATCGGTATTCTACACTTTTAAACGTGTAGAACTCATGGTTTAATCCATCATATGATTTCTTAAAAATCATACAATAATAAAACTAGTTAAAGATTGTTTATTGAGTTCTTACCTCAAAAACAACCCTCTTCTCTTTGGATTCTCTTCCTTGCTGCTTGGACTATGAGAGGAGACTTCCCTAGAGCTTCTCTCTCTGCCTTGACCGAGTGGATGGTTCAAGGAAATGCTAGGATGAGTGATTATCACCATCCACCTAAGTCAACCCATAAAAACAAGGGAGTAGGGTAACGGTGGGTATGAGTTTTGTCTCTTGGAGACTTCCCACCTACTAGGTACACCCCCCAGCTGCTTCCTTGTCATTTGCAGCACATTGGGTCATGGGGTGGCCCCCACTTATGTGGGAGGTCATCCCATTATATCCCGGTGTGTATAATTGGCCTCGAAAGTTGTATTTTTCGGACTACTTTAATCATATTTTATTTTATCGGGCCGGATAAAATATATCACGCGTCCCCAACAGTTTTGGCCTTTAGAATAGATGTACAATCCCCAACATTAATTTAGGAGTCTCCGAAACTCATTTCGGGCTGTTATCCGCTAAATTACCAATACCGGTAATTGGGCCCCGTTTGACCAACCGGTCAACTCCATGCCTTTCTTATGGCCCAAATAAAATATCCACCACCATATAGATGTCATCTAGACCAAGATGAATATAACATGTGGTTCGGGAATTATCGGGTGGTCCCCGTTCCCATTGTGGGCCCCACATGCAATTTACTATTCACGTAAAAGAAAGAATAAAATTTACAATTACGCAAATTCATAAATCATCTTTCAAGGTTTATTACATAATTCACTAAAAGTAAATATGCCCGGGGTCGGTGTTACAGACGGAACCAGAGACAGAAGACATTTCCCCAGCGATGAGCCCGAGTCTCCAAATACTTACCTGAGTAAGCTCAAGGCTTGATCAAGGCATTATGGACAAACAAATATGCGAAGACAGATACTACAGAAGGGTACTGCCCACATCACCACTACCTACGAAGGAGGCCACGTCTTCTTCGGCAGTGGGCAGAAAGAATATTCCGGAGTATACACGTGTAAGCCCATGAGCATTCGAGTGACAGTTTGTTAGGGGCAGTTCCAATCAACCAGCTGTTCTAGATCATCTCTCCAATCACCTTTACACGTGGCTGCTCCCCATCGACTTAGACTGTTAGTTTGTTAGAATAGATTGGATGTGTGTCCCCTTTTTATTGGTTCAACATCTTTTTTACTTGGGCATCAAGTATTGCCTTCCTAGTATAAATATCACCTTCCAGTTGTGGAAAGGGATCACAATTTGTATTCTCTTGTTGTTACTCTGCTAAAATTTATACCCGAGCTTTCTGATCAGCGCTTCTCTCTTATTTTGCTCGGATTCCGGCTACCCCTAGGTCGGTGATCCATCAACTACATTTATTAATTATTAGAAAATTGTGTTTTTGAAAATCATTTTTCAATTTCTCTCACTATAAATTTTAAAAATATGACTTTTTAACTCTCTACTAATAGAGAATGAAATATATTATTGATCAAAAGTGTGCATTGGCAGATGTAATATTGGAAACGCTGTAACAATAAAAGAATGAGTGAAATATTAAACAAGTAGTATAATATTGTCTTACGTTGTCAAACACATAATTGATTTCATTCATTGTTGATTGTTTAATTTTTCAATTGTTGACTGTTATTTATTGAGTGTTAGTGTAATAATTTGTTAATTTTGTCAGATGGAAAATTTCAATTATAATTAAATTGATAAATTTAATTAATTTCAAGGTGTAATAAACATGATTGACCTGGATAGAATAAAGAAAAAAAGAAGAAAAAATTAGAGAAAGTGATGCTAATAAGTAAAAATGGTTCAATGAAAAAGTTTGTTAAATAAGATTAAAACATTGATAAAATGCAGAAATACCAATGTTTTCTTCCCAAATAAGGTTTATCAATATTATAATATTATTGAATTAGATAGAAGAGAGTTGCAACTTTTTATAAATGTTTTGAAATATTATTATTATTTGAATGATTATTATTATTATTATTATTATTATTATGCATTTTAGTTTAAAGAAGAAAAGTTTAACAAGCCTTGCTATGAATCATAGCATGATACTGTATGACAGTTTATAGAAAACATTTGAACGCCACATGACACCAACATTATGGTTCTAGAGTTGATATTGAGTTTGATTAAAGATCGGCAAGTATGGCCGGCTGTATGCCTGTATCACTATATGGGTGGTGTCGCGTACGTGGGCAGTTCTAGGTTCCATGGAACCATTTTAAGTTTTAAATATATTTACGAGTATAATAAGAATTATAGTAATAGAAAGGGTGGGCCAAGCAATGCCCATTTAAAAATAAGCTCAATGTTAACGCGCTACTACCGCCGTGTTGACATCTCAGGTCAGGTTTGAACTTTGAAGGATTCCAGACCCAAACTGGGGCTGGGAAGGGAAAAAAACGAAATCCGCGGCTTCAATATGGCTGAAAAATCCTCTTAGCATTTTAAGGAAGAAATCAAATCGTTGACGCGACAACTTTTCTTTATATTTTCAACTTCATTTCGCTCAACTAAAACCGATAAACAATTCGAATATCCTGTTCTGAATTGTAATAAACAGAAACGCAGGAGCCGTATAATATTCTCTTCCGTCCGGTTAAATTGGACGATTCGTTGAAGAAATGGTCGGATGGAAGGGATCTAGATCGGGCAGTGGTGGATCGCCGACGGTAGAACATGTTTCTTCTTCGCGTACCGTGCGGCTCGGTAAGGTTCAGCCACAAGCTCCCGGTTTTAGGACGGTGTTTTGCAATGATCGCGAAGCCAATGCCCTCGCCAAGTATAAGGTCAGCATTCAGTTCTTCAGTCTAATTAGTTTATCGCCCCGTATAGTTTATGTATATTACGTTTAGTGTTTGATGTCGTGATAACGGAGGATGCTAGTTAGGGATCAACTATGGGTGTTCAAGTAATAGCTTTAGTCTTCTAAAGGTTTATCAAAGTTAATAATGGTTAAAAATGCACGGGGATGAAGGAAAAGAGAAATACTCTAGATAAGATGAGTGGTTTTGCAATATCAATGAAGTTGTTGTATGCCTTGGATGGTGTCTTCATTTTTGAACTGCCTAACTATGGACACAAGTAGTTCTCGTTAGCATTTTATTTTTCAAAACATTCCAGAAAATCAGAAACCTGCTTACTCTTATTTTGCTGATAAGAGGTGGAATGCGGTTGTTAACGCTGCTGCGGTTGTTAACGCTGCCATCCATATATGGGATGCATGCGTTAGCAATTCTCCTTTGGAGATATCATTGATTGGCACATAGGCACTGCTAAATCATTGAGTGTAAACTTCTTTTTGATGCTGTTGACTTGGAATCATAAGATATATTCCTACTTGTAAGTTGTAACCTCTTAGTAAGCAGAGTAGAGGGATGGACGGAAATGCATCATGTAGTATGTGTACTAAAATTTTTCTTTAGTATTCTAGTTGAGGACTAGGTACATTATATTTCTTCGTCCAACTTCAATAAGCACACACAATGGACCTTTGACTTGCGGCTTGATTTGCAACTCTCAACTTCGCTCAACAATATTCTACTCAACAGTGTTATCGCTTGCTCTAATGGGTTTACGTACGGATCCACACCAAGCAAGTAGAAACCATGTTCTTTTAGTGTTCTTTTAGTTTATACTTTATGCTAGGGGCTTCATATGTGATAGATCAAACTAAATTTTAACTTATTCTACACTTCTCAACTACCCCTCATGTTTTAGGATAACCACTAGTGATTTGCTTCATACTCTCATGTAAACTCATATCAAACATTGTGTAGTGTCATGTCTTTTGCTACTTTACCGCCAAAGACAGGCTGTTATAAAACTCAGTCATGCTAATAATATACATCAACAAACGTCACTTTTCACAATACTTCGAACTTAGGAGACTGTATTGTCAACTGCAATGATTGTGAAACTTCTCCATTTCATTGTACCACTTAGGAGACTTTCAAGTACCACATACATGATTTGTATCATTATAGAATTCGTATAAGTTTAAGATTAGCATTAATTTTCAAAGTTATACACTCTAGAGCCCTACTATTATAGTATTATATCCAATTTATGGTTTGAGAAATAGAGAACAGCAAAGATTGTTCAATTGTTCAAGTTGGGAAACAACTAAGGTGACATGATCTTACATCAGTAGATACTTGTGGTACGATTGAAGTATGTTTTCTCCTTCATCTAAGCCTCAAGACATTAGTGGGGATACTCATTTATAATTTATTATTGCTTTAAGTTATCGCCCATATGCCCCTTCATGTGTTGGAGTGTTGGACTTATATTTTTAATCGCAAAATCAACAAAACGTGTGAAAGTAGTTTTACTACAGGTACAACACACCTAGTAAGAAGCACATTTATTATTATTTTTTTGTAATACAACACACCATATATTTATTAGAAGGGAACATGCTTTGTTTGAGGTTGCACTTGCAGCTACTCTATCTGTACTATCCTGCTTTCTTATAGCAGTAGTAGAATAGTTGTTATTGTTTTTTGTCTAAAGGCAAAGCTTTTCTGATTAGAAGTGAATGGTTTTTTTTTTGGTTTTCTAGGCAAACTCTGTGTCGACTACAAAGTATGATGTGCTTACCTTTTTACCCAAAGGTTTATTTGAACAGGTAATATTTTATCGTATATCAATATATTATGGTGACTGGTTATAACAAAATTCATTTTCATTGACATTGACATGTGTTTTGCATTGCTTAAGACATTAAAAAAAGTTTTGCACATACTATCTTACTCCCTCCATTCTCAAGTTTGCTCCTGCTAAGGAAGTTGTGGTATTTAAGGCGATAATTAATTGTTTTTGTAAGTTGACAAACACATTATCAATAGCGGATAACAGATTATGGCAAAAAGCCTGAAAACCGTTATATAAATTATTAAATATAGTGGATAACTTTGCTGTAAATAGTGGAAGCACAGCCGATTAGTTAAAATAATTTACATATATAGTAATTATTTTTAAATATCCTACTAGATGTAAGCAGTAAAGTAATAAAATTGATTCGAGTAACATTAAAGTAGTTGGAAACTTAGAACTAAACCTAGAATCATAGCACAAAACTAGTAAACCACCAAGATTCAAACTTTTCTTAAAGTGATGTTTTAATAAATTGAATATAAAGCCAAAACAACTGCCAACTTTCAATTTAACAGCTTCTTAGTATTCTTCTTCAATCCCAAGTTATAATACAATAGAAGCACAAACTTGAACTGCTGATTTGGACCACAAGTTCAGAATAACTGAAAGTCTGAAAGAATAGAATAGTATGATTTTTGAAAAAAAAAGATAGGCAGGGCTTAGATAGAAGATGGAGGATGGGCATGAAGTCTTACTGGACGTATGAAGAATAAAATTTGAATAAGTTTAAGTGAATGAATCAGCTGGGAGATGGCTCGGATTTTAGGAGTTTTAGGGTTTAATTAAAAGGACCCTGAAAATGGGTCAGCGACTAGGTAAAAAATGAGCCAGCTATTCAGCCAACCCAAAAGACCCAATATGGTGCCATACCGCGATCTGCCATAGCAGCCCCTTGCAGTGCTAAGACGGTTCCACATCACCACCATTATACTATGGCGGTTTGCTTGGATCCTGCAATCACTATCTGCCATGACGCTGCCATGGCTGGTGTTTGACGACACTGACTGGCGTGGTCGAGAGATGAAAATAAGAAGATTGAATCGATAAAGATGAAGAACTTCTTCACCCTATTCAAGAGAAGATGGCATCCCATTTTGTCAAGACTCCAAGTAATACATCCACATTAATAATCGTATTATTGATAAATAGAGCACCTCAGATTTTACTAGTTCCAAGAGTCTTGGTGGACTAGTATAACAGTAACCCTAAAAGTATTAGTACACTGCTATTAATATATTAACTAAACCAGAATATCTATACTAATAAGAAACTATTACTACCAATAATAATAGGAAAGTAATACTAATAGGCCTATAGTAATTATAATAGCAATAGTGGGTTGATACTTACCTCCTAAAATTTTATGCAGAGCAAAAAATTGAAGTTAAACCTCTCATGCATGTTATTTTCAGTGCCTTTTGTTCACTTTTATCTTTTGTTCTGTGTTTTGTTTGTGCTGACAGTTCAGACGGGTAGCTAACCTCTACTTCCTTATGATATCGATTTTGTCATGCACTCCAATCAGGTATGTTTTTCAGCTGGAAATAAAGATGTCATCTTGCTTGAGAAACTCTCGCGTAAATATGATCTTTGCATCACTTTATTCTGATCCTGTTTGTCTGTATTAATTTGGAGAATTTTTGGCGCAGTCCTGTGAGTCCTATAACAAATGTTGTTCCTTTGAGTTTGGTGCTTCTTGTTTCTCTCGTAAAGGAGGCTTGGGAAGACTGGGTGTGTGCCATTCACTAAATTTTCCATAAACGTTTTTGTGAATGATTATTTTCTGTGGAAGTATCTCTTAACTTGAGTTTTACATAATCTAGACTTTGTTTAACTGCATTTACTCACGTATGTTCAAAATTTTGCACAGAAACGTTTTCAAAATGACATGTCAATAAATAATACTCCTGTAGACGTCTTTCAAGATAAGAAATGGATGAGTGTTCCTTGGAAGAAGCTTCAGGTTGGGGACATTGTCAAAGTAAGAATACTTCTTTTGATTTTTCACTTATTTATAAATTTCGATTGCCTTATGTGCTATGTCTGTTACAATAGTCATATGGTGGAACTCTAAGCATACCCACTATTTTCATTGTTTTATAATGTAAAGCTCTAAGCATACCCACTATTATTGCTTATCAATAATTCAATCACATCAATTCATCAGTCTATATCCTTATTATGCCAAGCCGTTAACATGAGGTTGCGATGATCTTATCTGTGAACCAGATTTATATATAGCACTGTCAGAAGCACAAAGTGTTATATTTGTTTTATTTCTTGTTTTTATTTTGGCTTCATGGTAAAGTGAGCCGACCCCAATATCTTTTGGGACTAAGGCTTGGATGTTGTTGTTGTTGTGGTAAAGTGAGCAAGGACTAAAGATTGTCATCTATAAACCTGCAAATGATGATGATTTGTTATAATAGTCTAGTGGCTCTAGTCATGTTTTGAGGCTTTAGAGTTCGCAGCTTCATGGTATCCACCATAGTGTGACTGTGTGAGTACTAATTACATGTTGCTATTGTAACAGGTTAAACAAGATGAGTTTTTTCCAGCTGACATATCGTTTCTTGCCAGCACAAATCCTGATGGAATCTGCTACATTGAGGTTGTACTTGGGTTGGCCTTGAGTGCTCTTTTCCTTTAATATTTCTTGATTCTGTTAATTATTGTTTATTTTCGTTATTACGGGGCATGAGGTATGTGCTTCCAGCTGGCCTGTAAATACAGCAAACATCCTAAGAAACAGGATTCTTGTACTCCTATATTGATATTGTGTACTTGTGTCATTGCATATCAGCCTCCCCAATAATAATACTCCCTCCGTCCTTCAAAACTTTGCCGAGTTTGACCGGCACGGGAAATTATGAAGTAAAAATGTGTTGATAGCGACCACAAATTGATTGATTAAAAGGGAAAGCGGCAAAGTTTTTGGGACAACCAAAAAAGGAATGATGGAAAAGTTTTAAGGGTCTGAGGGAGTAATAAATTGGTAAACAAACAAAAAACTCATAAAACTCTCTTGAAGTTAAACTGCAGACAGCTAACTTAGATGGTGAAACCAATTTAAAGATCCGAAAAGCTTTGGAGAAAACTTGGGACTATATGACTCCTGAGAAGCTCACTGAGTTTCAAGGTTTTGATCTTTCTAATGCTATTTCATTACCTAATATTCATGTGTTTTGTGTCTATCAGTACTCATGCAAATTCTTATGCAAATTCTTATGCTTGAGTAAGTAATGTGTACTTCTTTAATAATTTAAGTAAGGTCTGACTGTCTGAGCCAGGTTATGTTGGCTCACTTATACCATACATATTGGGAATGTCACGATTCGGGTCAAAATCAGAGTGTCAGACCAATTTCAAGCATTTTTTTAACTTTATAGTTTTAATCATAATAACTACCAACTTAATTGAAGAAAAAAATTATGTTATTATCTGGATGGGATGTTCTAAAATAAATTGCCTTCTATACATTGGTTTCCTCATGGGGTGATCGATACATAGATAAAATAAATATTCCCTCGGTTCCTTTTTAGTTGCAACAGTCAACATTTCACATTTGCCAACGCACGTCTTTGACCGTAATTATATCTTAATTCTATTAGTAAAAAAAATTAGAAATCAGATTTTGAAAATTTGTAATGAGATGAATTGAACAATATTTTTTTTTAAAAAATAATTTTCATAAAAGAATAGCGTAAAATGTAGTCAAAGTAGAGCATGTGAATAGTGTAAAATTCAACATGTTGCGATTAAAACGGAACGGAGGATAGTATGTTTGCTATTTCTTCCGTTAGACATTGATCAAAATTTAGTGTTATTGCCTTATCTAGTTGCCATGGTAAGAGTCAAAGCATGATTATAAGTTGGAATTCATGTTTTCGGTTTAGTTGTTGATGTTTTGGAAATGAGGTTGAAGTCATGGGAGTATGGTTCATTTTGATAGGATTACATCTTTACTTGGATTCTACTGCAAATTGCAGGTGAAATACAATGTGAGGAGCCAAATAACTCTTTGTACACATTTACTGGCAATTTGATAGTCCAAAAGCAAACCCTGCCCCTCAGCCCCAATCAACTTCTTCTGAGGGTACACCATACGTGTTATGTCTTCATAATTGGCTAGATTTTATATGAACTTGTAGTTTTCCTTAAAAATAAATGAAAAACTGTCATGTTGAATTATTGAAGAATAGAGAGAGTATTGGACACATGGTTCCTTGAAATAAAAATACTCTTCACTTGTGCCACATGGGAAGCAAGACTTGTGTTTACACTACTCCACTCATAGTAGCTATTTCATTTCATGTTCTCATTTTCAACAAATTTGTAGTGTCTCTTATGGACATCCGATTAGCATTTACTGATTGAAGTTCACATCTTATCAGGGCTGCAGTTTGAGAAACACCGAATACATTGTTGGGGTTGTCGTGTTTACAGGCCATGAGACGAAGGTACGTACTGATTTACCTTTTATAGTTTTGGCTCCTATGTGTGTGTTTCAGTGTTTGTGATGCATCATGCATGCAGATTACTATATCTTCTTCAAGAATAGTTTGAGCATTCAGCAGTTAAGTCATGACGGGGGTAATGCCCCAGGTTGTTTATCACTTTTTCTTTACAAAGGACATGTCATTTTTTGGGAGTGTTCACAATTTCGTTTTAACAGGCCATGGTTTTACTTTTATTCCTCGATAGAGCTTCATTTGATTATACTTTTTCATGCCAATACTGAACTTACAAGTGACAACTTACAACAGGTTATGATGAATGCTATGAAAATTCCTTCTAAAAGAAGCACTTTAGAGAAGAAGCTTGATAAACTTATTCTCACTCTTTTTAGTGTTCTCTTCTGCATGTGCCTCTTGGGAGCAATTGGAAGGTTTGACTTGGTGCCAATATATTGCCTATTTTGCTGTGCTCTGAACTATGACATAACTTGATGCTGTACATACAAAAGAGCTTTAATAATGAATTTTTATGTTCCTTGTAATTGACACAGTGGGGTTTTCATAGACCACAAGTATTATTACTTGCGATTCGAAACTGGCAAGAATGCGGACATACAATTCAATCCTAACAATAGGTTTGCGGTAATCATCTGGATCTGCCTAAAATAACATTCTAGATGCTCTGTTTAGCATGATTGTTTAAGGTGAACAACTTTGACTGGAATGCAGGTTGCTGCTTTGACTATGTTCACCTTAATTACTTTGTATTCACCAATTATTCCCATCTCTTTGTATGTTTCGGTCGAGGTAGATCTCACGAGCTCTTCTATGTTTCAAATTATCTGAATAAGTTTTGGTTTATAGAACATTACCTGTACTTTTTCCAGATGATAAAGTTCATTCAATCTACTCAATTCATCAACAATGACTTGTGCATGTACCACCCTGAGAGTAATACTCCTGCACAAGCAAGGACTTCTAATTTGAATGAGGAGCTGGGTCAGGTAATGCCTTAGACCCCAGGTGCATAAGGAGGATCTTATTTATTTTACTTAAAAAATTAGAAATGTAATCCTGTGTCAGGCATGATCTATATTCTATTTGCATTGTAAGAAAAACCTTGTATATTTAATTTAATTTAATGTTCTAAGGCTCCTGAAGAAGAAATCATGAATGTCTGATTTTTAATTTCTCATTAATAGGTAGAGTACATATTTTCTGACAAAACCGGAACTCTTACTCGAAACTTAATGGAGTTCTTTAAGTGTTCAATCGGAGGAGAGATTTATGGCACTGGTGTAACTGAAATTGAAATGGGCATAGCACAGAGAAATGGGGCTTCTGTACAAGTAAGCTATAGTAAACAGAAAGATATATTCACATAGTTATTCCTGCTGTATCACATTATCATAACTTTTTCGACAGGTTCACCAGTCACAAAATCCTGCACTAGAAAAAGGCTTCAACTTTGATGATGCTCGGTTAATGCGAGGGGCTTGGAGGAATGAATCTAATCCCGATGCATGTAAGGTGAGAACAAGATTCTTTTTTGTGTGCGCGTGTGGGGTGGGGGGTATTGTTGAAGCAGGTCTACCCAAAGGTCCTCTTGCTTATGTGGCGTGACCCACCCGTGTTATAAACAACTTACTGCTCTTCTATATAGATTCAGGTTCCTCTTGCATTGAGCCATTGAGGCTCTTCTCCTCCTTCCAAAATGTAGGTTTGAAGAATAAATCTTCCATGTATTATTGAGCCATCCGGCAATGATATATATACAAGTTTACGGATAAACTAGAGTTTGTTACAGATCCTAAATATTAGGATCTTATCTATTCTTATCTATACTGCGAGCTAATCTAAGAATTAGAGTCCTAAATCAATTCTAATTCCTATCTATACAGTTCCGGATGTACACATAATAAAATAACATGTATAAGCTACATTTTTCTACACTCCCCCTCAAGTTGGTAAGTATATATCATACATTCCCAACTTGCTTATAAGAAATTCAAACACTGGTTTAAACAGCCCCTTTGTGAAGATATCAGCTGTTTGTTCTTTAGTAGATATGAATGGTGTGCACACAATTCCAGCTTCAATCTTCTCTTTGATAAAATGCCTGTCCACCTCAATGTGTTTAGTACGATCATGTAGCACAGGATTGTGAGCAATATTAATGGCTGCTTTATTGTCACAATATAACTTCATAGGTAGGTCCATTTCCATATTCAACTCTGTCATCATTCTCTTGATCCAAAGTAGTTCACAGATTCCATTAGCCATAGATCTAAATTCAGATTCTGCACTACTTCTGGCAACAACATTCTGCTTCTTACTCCTCCAAGTCACCAGATTCCCCCATACATAAGTACAATATCCAGATGTAGACCTTCTATCAGTTATTGAACCAGCATAATCTGCATCTGTAAAGGCTTCTACACTTCTATTGTCACTTTTTTTTAAAAATAATCCTTTCCCTGGACAGCTTTTCAAATATCTTAGGATCCTGTAGGTAGCATCTAGATGTTCCTGGAATGGATTATGCATGAACTGACTAACCATACTGACTGCAAAGGCAATATCTGGCCTTGTATGTGCCAGATAAATCAACCTTCCCACCAATCTTTGATATTGGTGAATATTAACTGGTACTCCTTCCTTGACATTTCCTAACTTTTGATTAGGGTCAATTGGAGTATCTATTGGTCTACAGGCACTCATACCTGTTTCATGAAGTAGGTCTAGTACATACTTCCTTTGGGATACCACAATTCCTTTCTTTGATCTGGCTATCTCCATGCCAAGAAAATACTTCAATTCTCCCAGGTCTTTGATTTCAAATTCCTGAGCAAGCTTCTTCTTCAGGTCTTCAATCTCTTCACAATAGTTTCCTGTAAGAATTATATCATCCACATAAACAATTAGTTTTGCAATTTCTCCCTTAATGGAGAATTTCATGAATAGTGTATGGTCTGCTTGGGCTTGCTTGAATCCCTGCTTCTTTATGAATTGAGTAAACCTTTCAAACCAAGCCCTTGGGGACTGTTTAAGTCCATATAAGGCTTTCTCCAGCTTGCACACCTTTGAGCCATATTGTTCCTCAAACCCAGGAGGGGGGCTCATATATACTTCCTCTTCAAGTTTCCCATTTAGGAAAGCATTCTTCACATCTAACTGTTGAAGAGGCCAGTCTAGGTTAGTAGCTAGAGATAGTAGGATCCTTATAGTATTTAATTTTGCAACTGGTGCAAAAGTTTCTGTATAATCTATGCCATAGGTTTGTGTGTATCCTTTGGCAACCAATCTGGCCTTATATCTTTCAAGTGTACCATCTGCCTTGAATTTAGGGGTAAACACCCATTTGCATCCAACCCTTGGTTTGTTTTTGGGTACCTCTACAGTCTGCCATGTCTGATTCTTTTCAAGGGCATTCATTTCTTCTAAAACAGCCTTCTTCCACTCAGGTATAGATAGGGCTTCCTGTATGGTTAAGGGAATAGAAACAGTAGAAAGGCTAGAGGTAAAGGCTGCAAATGATGTAGATAACTGAGAATATGACAGATAGTTTGAGATAGGGTATTTAACACATGACCTTTTTTCTTTTCTGAGAGCAATGGGTAGATTTAGATCACTGAAATTATTACCTTTGTCATTTTCTGGCATTGAGTCAGATTCATGGACAGTGGCAGGATCAGGGATGTCCTCTATTCTGTGATTTGGAACTCTCCTTTCATAAACCTTGCCAAAAAACTTACTTGTCTGCTGTTCATCATCTTTCCTTGTTTCAGAAAAAAAAATTTCATTTTCTTTTGACTCTTGACTATTTTCTATTGTATCTAACTGTCTATTATACTGTGCATCTAGATTAATGTCAAGAGGTTCTAGTTTTTCATGGATATGTGACACATTGTTACCATCTTCATTAGGAATCTCCCCCTGAATATGAGTACCAAAAAAAGATTGATCTTCTACAAAAACAGTGTTCATAGTTATAAACATCTTTTTTGTTATAGGATCAAAACATTTATAGCCTTTCTGAGTTGAAGAGAGTCCTAAGAAAACACATTTTTTCCCTCTAGGGTCAAGTTTACTTGCAGTCCTGTCAGGATTGGTAATAAAAACTGTGCACCCAAAAATTTTTATGGGAAGAGAATTAATTAGTCTAGTTTCAGGAAAACATGCTTGAAGAGTATCAATAGGAGTTTTGAATCCTAGAGTTTTTGATGGCATCCTATTAATTAGATAGGTAGCATGTAAAACAGCTTCTCCCCATAAATATTTTGGAATTTTAGCAGAAAACATAATTGCACGAGTGACTTCAAGTAAATGTCTATTTTTCCTCTCAGCTATTCCATTCTGAGCAGGTGTATTTACACAGGAACTTTGATGAATAATCCCTTTTTCAGCAAAAAAACTATTTAACTTCTTAGAAAAATACTCAAGACCATTATCACTTCTCACAATTTTGATATTAGTGTTGAATTGAGTTTGGATCATTGAATAAAATTTTTTGAACACTTCTTCAATCTCAGATTTTTCTTTAAGTAAAAACACCCATGTGACCCGTGTGTGATCATCTATGATGGTTACAAACCACCTTTTTCTTTTCAGAGTTGAAACTCTAGATGCACCCCAGATATCACTGTGTACAATAGTAAAAGGACTAGTTGGTTTGTAACTATGAGGGATGTAAGAACTCCTATGATGTTTGGCAAGTGCACACATATCACAATGAAATGATGAAGGATTTTTATTAAGAAATAACTTAGGAAACAACATTTTCAGATAAGAAAAACTTGGATGACCTAATCTATAGTGCATTAAATACACTTCATTATTACAAGGAAAGAAAACAATTTGCAAACAGGTTTTTTCTTGACCTTGTTTATTCAATTGTGTTCCTTCATCAAAAGTATAGAGGCCATCCTCCTCTCTAGCACTGCCAATCATCTTCCCTGATGCCAGATCCTGAAAAATGCAATAAGAGGGAATTTTTTTTACACAACACTGAAGATCTTTAGTAATTTTGCTAATAGAGATAAGATTGCAGGAAAGTTTTGGAACATGCAAGACTTTGGAAAGCTTAATGGATGAGGAAATTTTAATATTTCCCATCCCTGCTATGGCTGAAAAAGAGCCATTTGCAACTCTAACTTTCTTATCTCCTGCACAAGGTTGATAAGAAGAAAAAAACTGTGGAATGTAGGTCATGTGGTCTGTTGCACCTGAGTCAATGACCCAGGTGTTTTTAGGTTTTTCAGAACAAAAACATTATTTTACCATTTTGGGCAAAAGAACAGGTAGGGTTTTCTTGGTTGGAGATTTTCTGGGTGGGTATGAATTTGAGTAGGTACTCTATCTGTTCCTGAGTGAAAGGTAGCTGTTTAGGTTCAACTCCTGCCTCTTGTTGAGTCTCGGTCACAGTAGTTTGTAGGACCCTTTCTACTTTCTTCTTCCCAGCTCCTTGTGGTTTTCCATGGAGTTTCCAGCATGTATCCCTTGTGTGCCACAGTTTCTTGCAGTGATCACACCAAGGTTTTTTCTTGTTGTCATCACTTCTGGCCACCAAAGCTGAAGATTCCCCAGGTTCCTCAATAGGTACTGGAGTGTTGTACATGACCCTCCTCCTGCTATCTTCCAACCTGATCTCAGAGAATACCTCTCTGATTGAGGCCAAGGGTTTCTTCCCCAGTATTCTGCCTTTTACTTCATCTAGGTCTCTATTCATTCCTGCTAGGAACATATAGACTCTGTCATTTTCCTCTCTCTTCTTGTGTCTTGCCAGATCCTTGGCACTTTCCCAGTCTTCAGCATCATAGCATTGATCCAATTCTTGCCATAGAGATACCATCTCATTATAGTATGAGATGACATCTCTATTTCCTTGTTTGGACTGCCACAACCTAGTTTTTAATTCATAGATCTGAGAAGAATTCTCAAGATCTGAGTAGGTTTCTTTGATTGAATCCCATACCTCTTTTGCAGTTCTCATGAACATGTGAGGTTTGGCAATTGATGCATCCATTGAACTGAGAAGCCAGGCTGTTACCAAAGAGTTCTCTGACCTCCCGACATTGTAGCCATCTTCACCATTCTTCTTCTCCTCTACTTCACCTGTTATGTATCCCAGTTTTCCTCTTCCATCTATTGCCAGTTTGACAGATTGTGACCACTCTAGGTAGTTGGTTCCATTCAATCTATGTCCAGTAATGAGCATAGATGAATTAACCGAGGCCTGATAATTTGTCATTTGGCTAATTTGGGGGTTAGGATGATGGGTTTGTGAGTGGGTGGAGGATTCAGAGTGTTCAGTGTCCACCATTATGGTGTTTTAAACAACAAAGCTCTGATACCATGTAGGTTTGAAGAATAAATCTTCCATGTATTATTGAGCCATCCGGCAATGATATATATACAAGTTTACAGATAAACTAGAGTTTGTTACAGATCCTAAATATTAGGATCTTATCTATTCTTATCTATACTGCGAGCTAATCTAAGAATTAGAGTCCTAAATCAATTCTAATTCCTATCTATACAGTTCCGGATGTACACATAATAAAATAACATGTATAAGCTACATTTTTCTACACAAAACCTACTAGCAGCCTAGACCTTTCCCATGGTCTTCCCTGTCCAAGGTGTTGATCGTATCCTATAAGCTCCCATTTGCAATATATATTAAATTATAAATTTGTGTTTTCCCGATTTAGACTTACTGGGCCTGTTGATTCTTTAGTTTGGAATTAAATTATGATGCACAGTAAAACATATGTAATGGCTAAAACCGTCTTTTTCAAGGAATGAAGTTTTTTTACCAGCATTCATACTAAATGTATGTGTGTCCTTTAACAGATGAAAGTGCCTCTCTTTTCGGAAACTATAAGAGTCAATGGAACTCTTAAGTCTTAACTCTAAGTTGATTTCACATGCAAATGCAAATATGGGGTTATTGAGCTTTTCTGATGTTCTGTCACGATTTCAAAGACATTTCATAATCATATAGCACTCAATGTAAAATATTTCCCTGTTCTGTATCATGTGAATTGATGGCATTTCTTAGTTTAGTATTGTATGAGCAGTAGAACCCTCACAGTATTAAATTATGAATGTTTATTTGTTGTTCTTCATGTTGTGATCTTGTGTAATGAATACCATGGCTGTGCAGGAATTCTTCAGATGCCTTGCAATATGTCATACTGTACTTCCAGAAGGAGAGGATTCCCCTGAAAAAATCAGATATCAAGCAGCATCGCCTGATGAGGCTGCTTTGGTTGTGGCAGCAAAGAACTTCGGTTTCTTTTTTTGCAAGTGAGAATCTTTAAAATATCACGGCTCCATGCATATGCATTTGTTACTTTCTATATGATATTTCATTGTCATAATCCTATGATATGGGACAGTATATTTGTTTGAAAAAATGGTGAACAATTCAAATACCAGAATCGGGCAGATTTCTTACCTTACAGACGTCAACTCAAGAGTAATAGTCTTGCAGTTGTAATATCTAGAAATGAAATTCTGGAATCCAGACTCAAGTATTCATTTCAGCCTATAAATACACATGCTCTTGTGATGTTGCGAGAAGTTAATTAAATCATTATGCAGTCCATCTGTCCATTTATTCTCTTATCTTCTCTCTCCCCTATTTTACACATAATAATTTTGGTGGCAAATTATTCCAACTCATATTTCTGAACAGTTATTTCCATTAGTGGTTAGTGGGATATGGTAGACATGTAGTTGACAAAGCATACGAGATCCAATCTCGCCTTTTGTAGAAACCCTAGGGCGAGCTGACATTGTCGAAGGGTCTTATCATTAAGCTTTTAACTGTCTTATTTTTGGTTAGCAAGTAAGTAGAGTTTTAGTCAATTACTATGTAGTATAGTGCTAATGGGAATATTAATTAACCACTAGACCAACCCTGATAATAAACTATTATTACTACTAATAATAATATGAAACTCATACTGATACTAATATAATGAAGATTGTTAAATGCTTCGTTCTCTAAGGAGAAACCCTTTATTCCCTGCCCTAGGCAAGTTAGTACTGCAAAAAGAATAGTACACCAAGAGGAATATTACTGCAAAGATAAATTATAATTCCAACGAAAACCTTTAAATAGTAAACAAGACAAGAGTCCTCATTCCGTACTAGGAAAGAAATTTAAATATTCCAAACTCATAAAACAATACATCGGCTGAACAAGGAAAGGTAATTAGAAGGGAATAAAGATTACTTGGTGACACTCCATTTTGGCCCAGTTGATTCCTTCTTCCGGTGGTGGTACACATGTCCCACGAATAAGTCCGTGATAGATTCCTTTGATGATTTTGTCTTGGGCCCGTGTAGGAGCCAATATAATATTCAATCTTTAATACTTGTGCACCTGTTGTATTTGAGCTATTCTACTTTCATGGGAGTTGTGCTTACCAAAGTTAATAAGCATTTGATGATTGATAATAGGGGCTCCTTAATGTTTTCACAGGCGTACACCTACAATGATATATGTTCGTGAGTCTCATGTTGAGAAGATGGGAAAGATTCAAGATGTTCCCTATGAAATCCTGAATGTACTTGAATTTAATAGGTGACAAATACAAAAAATGTACTGAATTTTGCTTGCACATTTAGCCTTTGTTTTGTTAAAGCTGAAATATCAGAAAAATGGAATTTTTTGTTGTTTTTAAAAGAGGATTGGGGAGGAGAGATAAATATGATGGGTCCCACCCCCTTTTAAAAACCTTTTCTCTTATGAACCTATGTAGATAGACGAATCTCCTCCCAGTTTCTATTACTTCGACACTTTCTTCTCTATTTCTTCACTAAACCAAGGAAAAACATAGTATGACTGTGGTTGGCTTTGCCTTGTGTTTCACATTTAGTACAAGGAAACGCCAGTCTGTTGTGTGTCGATTCCCTGATGGCAGACTCGTGCTGTACTGTAAGGTAACAGCTTCATAAAGATAGAAACATGAGAAACATCAGAAACAGAAATAAATGATATATTAGGGAATGTTCTTTATCACAGGGTGCCGATACTGTAATCTATGAAAGGTTGATCAGTGGAGATGGCGAATTGAAAAGAAGAACCAGGGAGCATCTGGAACACTTTGGATCAGCTGGATTACGCACACTTTGCTTGGCTTACAGAGACTTGAATCCTGATGCATATGAAAATTGGAATGAGAAATACATTCAAGCAAAGTCATCTATGCGAGATCGTGAGAAGAAATTGGATGAGGTGCGCCATCATTATAGCATGCTAGTTTTGTGTGTTGTTTTCAAAGAAAAGTCTCTTATCACATTATCACAATACAATTATTGCAGTTTAGGCTATCCATTGTTTGATCATCATGTACTTTTCCATTTAATGTTTGTTTCTATACTCTAATTCTATCTGAAAATATTTGGAACATTGTGAAAAGGCAGCTTTTACTCTAGAACAATATTGATTGAACTCTTAGCCCTGAGTAGTTCAGTCGAGGTTAGGACGCGTCCCTTTGACCACTTGATCCAATGATCTCTTTCATAATGATTCATGTGATATGACTATTCATATTAGCTGATCCCAAACTCTTTTGGGATTAAGGCTTGGTTGTTGTTGTTGTTGTTAAATACCATTTCAGTTATAATCGGTATAACTTGTACATGAAGCTTGTAACATTTTCTAACTAGCTACTTCTGTTTTGCATGATTTGTTTTGCTTCCCAGCTGTAGAATAGTTAGGGGTTGTTTACTTTTTTATTTCTATCAAGTCCTGTCTTGATTAAGATGTCTATCGATATTAAGATGTTTATTTTCTGTGCTGAATAAACAGGCTAAATTGAGTAAAGTAATCAATATAATATTATTATTGCATTATATTATTAATGAACAATGTAATTTATTAACATACATCTATTCCATAATCGATTTTAAAAAATTGGCTGAATAGGCGTCTACATGAAAAGGATTACTATATTACAGCTTAATGGTTAATCCGGTTTTTTTATTGAATGAATCGTAGCTTCTTAATGGGAAGGATTACTATATTACAGCTTCATGATTAAGCCAGTTTTTTTACTGAATGAATAAGTCGTGTTTTCAATTAAGTCGCAAGTAAACATGACTTAATGGCTGAACTATTAAGTCGCTATTCTGACTTAAGTCCATTAAGTCACAAGTAAACAGCCCATTAGTAGCTGAAAATAATGCTTATCTTATTATCATGCAGGTAGCAGAACTCATTGAAAAGGATCTAGTTCTGATTGGATGCACTGCCATAGAAGATAAACTTCAGGAAGGAGTGCCTACATGCATAGAGACACTTTCAAGGGCTGGAATCAAGATTTGGGTGCTTACTGGGGACAAAATGGAAACCGCAATAAATATTGCTTATGGTCTGTATTTGTTTGTATGTGTAAATTTTAATTCATTCATCTTGAGAAATTTATGCCAACACTTATCTTGTTTCTGTTCTACACTCAGCGTGCAATTTGATCAATAATGACATGAAACAATTTATTATAAGTTCAGAAACTGACGCAATCAGAGAAGTGGAAGATAAAGTGAGCAAATGTCTTTGATTTAGCTGCAAGAATTATTGAAATATATGTGTGACGTCATTTAACGTTTCTTTGGAATGTCCTCTTTAAGGGTGACCAAGTGGAAATTGCTCGTTTTATGAAGGATGCTGTAAAGAAGGATCTTAAAAAGAGTTATGAGGAAGCACAAGAGTACCTTCATTCTGAAGCCAGGCCAAAGTTAGCACTTGTTATTGATGGAAAGTGTTTGATGTATGCATTAGACCCAAGTTTGCGTGTGATGCTATTGAATTTGAGCTTGAATTGCAGTGCAGTGGTTTGCTGCAGAGTTTCTCCCTTACAAAAGGCACAAGTGAGTTTTGTAGCAAGCCGAGCTAACTATGTATTTCTGTTTAACGGGAAGAGTTCTGAACTTTGACTTCTTTTCCCATGGCTGAAAATGTTTAGGTTTAGTTTTATACACAAATATGTGTGCGTGTGTGTATTATGTGTGTGTGCACGAGCCCATTGTGTATTTTAGATTTTATAAAATTGAAATATTAACCTAATATATGTGGACGCGCAAGCTTGAGCCCATGAGGGTATTTTGAGCTTTATAAAATTGAAATATTAACATAATTTTTATCATATACGTAGTATGTATACAACATTTCACTCGGCTTTTTATATATTTATAGAAACATTTATTGATAAAGATATGAGCTAAACCTTCATACCAATCACCTTTAAAACCTTCCATTCAAACTGACCCTCAGGGTGTGTATTGGAGATGATTTTGGATGGAAGGGGTTATTTATCATTTAAAAAAATTATTGCTTTAGGTTGACTGTTTTTCAAAACAAAAAATAAAAAGATAATATAGTATAAACTTATATACTATATTAAACAACATATAATTTCACTTAGCTATCAAATTTAAATATCTCCCAAAGCCTACCTCACAACTTCCCAGTATATTCTTACTGATTCAAAATATGCCATTAGGTTCCCATATGTATTTACACGCAACACAAATGCTTGTAGGTGACTAGCTTGGTTAGGAAGGGAGCTAAGAGAATAACACTTAGCATCGGAGATGGTGCTAACGATGTGAGCATGATTCAAGCTGCTCATGTTGGTGTTGGAATAAGTGGGCAGGAAGGAATGCAAGCTGTGATGGCTAGTGATTTTGCAATTGCTCAGTTTCGCTTTCTCACAGATTTGCTCCTTGTCCATGGACGGTGGTCCTATATGAGAATCTGCAAGGTTTTTCATCTTACCTTTCCTTTAAGTTCTTGTTTAATTTGAATGATATTTTAGAAGAAGAGGGGGTATTTATTTAATTAATTTATATCATATACTCCCTCCGTCCCTTAAAACTTTGCCAAGTTTGACCGGCACGGGGATTAATAAAGTAAAAACTGTGTGGTTGAGGTTTGTGCAGAGAAGAGAGAATTAATTGGAACCACAAATTCTTTACTTAAAAGGGAAAGTGGCAAAGTTAATGGAACATCCAAAAAAGGAAAGTTAGCAAAGTTTTAAGGGACGGAGGAAGTATTTAATTGGCTGGAAAGAAAGTGAAGATGACAATTCATATAGACATACATGATTTAACTAAATATATGTGGATTAACTATGTTCTTGTTTAAGACTAACAAATATAGATAAATTAGTAAAACAAAAATCAATCCTCCCTCCCTTCCAAAACCCACAACCACGGAATCTCTTTTTTTCTATCTAGCCAATACTTTTTTGTATTGATGTTTTTTTTGCTACTTGTGGATGCAGGTTGTGACATATTTCTTCTACAAAAATTTGACATTTACCTTGACTCAGTTTTGGTTTACCTTTCGCACTGGATTTTCTGGTCAACGATTCTATGATGATTGGTTCCAGTCTCTTTACAATGTTATCTTTACAGCGCTTCCTGTGATTGTTCTTGGGCTTTTCGAAAAGGTGTGTTTGGATTCAACTACACAATTTAAATGTTTAACTTTACATTGTTTCCTATACACAGTGCTGAGGGCTCTAGAAGTCCCAGCCTATGCCCACTTTGATGCAAGGCGCAGTTTACCCCGTAGCTTTTTGAAACATTGCTCTTGCTGATTTAAACTGTGCTTTATATGTTTTCCTTTGCAAAAATAGGGTTTTGGCTTTAGGTCCTTTGAACTTTTATCTTTAATTCTTTATTCATCCTAGTAATTACCATCTTGTGTGTACATCCTCGCCAACCACTATTTTAAAAAACTGATGTGGCTCACACAATCTAGCGTGTAATTTAAATTTTGAAAGTGTAGGCGGGAGTTATTTCCACAAAAAGCTATATTTGCATAGGAAAAAATTTAAGCCCTTTAAACATGTCATTTTTTGAGCGAAGGTTGACAAATCGACTAAAAATATGTGGTAAATTACAAGGATGAATAAAAAAGTTATAGGGACTTGGAATTTGGAACAAAAAGTCGTATATATTCACAGAATGACAAAGAACATATTAAATCTTTTGGGCATTTTATGTTATTGCAGGATGTTAGTGCATTCCTCTCCAAAAAATATCCGCAGTTATACAAAGAGGGCATAAGAAACTCATTCTTCACGTGGAGAGTAGTGGCTGTCTGGGCACTCTTTGCCATCTATCAATCTGTAGTGCTGTATTATTGCGTGACTGCCTCTACTACCAAAGGTATGAATTCATCTGGCAAGATGTTTGGCCTTTGGGATGTCAGTACGTTAGCCTTCACCTGCGTTGTGGTAACTGTCAACTTGCGGCTTCTTATGATGTGCAACACAATCACCAAGTGGCATCAAATTAGTGTTGGTGGGAGCATATTGTTGTGGTTCATATTCATCTTTATGTACTCTGGCATTGTATTGCCGAAAGATCAGGTGAACTTTCGTACAGTTACGAGTCTTTTCCTATAGAAACAAAACTATATTTGGCCCTTTAACCTGCATGTTTTATTCCACTCTCATTTGGTGGGTATTCGTCACCCTTGAACTATATGTTTTAGGTTCAGTTTTGATGGAGGGTTTTTGGAGAGGGAGGCTTCGTTTGGTTTAGTCCACATCTTAATACAGAGTAAATATTACTACGTAGTATACTAAAAATATATTTTGATAAAATCTCAAATATAGAGCATATATCAACATAGACTTAGCCCTCCGAGCCTTCTATCCAAATTGACCGCTAGTGTAATGAACATGTGCATTCCAGATATATTAATTATACATCTTTGGTCTGATTCATAAGGCACATTAAAGTGGTCCTAAATAAAAGTCAGTTTTGTACTCGGTGCTGATTTAATTTATCTTCCCCAAGTATTCCCTCTTGAAAACTTAGAAACATATTCCCCAAAAATTGTTTCAGGGCATATTAGGATGCAGAAGATTATTTTAAGTGTTTTCACCATTTCATTAGTCTATTTGAAAGCCAAAATTTGCCTTATAATAAGGACTTGTACCATAAATATTTATATAGAGAAAGGAAATTATGGACAAATTTTCATATGGTTGTTCTGTAGGAGTTGAACCTTTAACTAGATCCTTCTTCCGTTTCATGCAAGTTAAGGGATTCAAATATGGCAATTTCTTTTTCTATATGAAGTTACACATGTTAACATCTTTTCTTATGTCAACAGAAGAACATCTATTTCGTCATATTCGTCTTGATGAGCACACTTTATTTCTATGTCGCGCTGCTTCTTATCCCTGTTGCTGCGCTCTTTGGTGACTTCTTATATCAGGGGTAAGATTTTTTGAATTAAAAATGTACATCTATGGAAACGAATCCTCTGTACCTCTAGTATCACAACCATAACAGATTCAGGGGAGGGGATTTGAACCTTGGCTTATCCCAAATTTGAATTGATTATATCTCCGGTTGGCCACGGCCTATGAATTTGCATGTTGCTTTTGCAAAATCAATCATTTAATGGACATGAGAAAAGAAAATATCTCATGGTATTTTCCATGCACGTGGAAATATTCTACGATACTACTCCCTCCGTCCCATTTTGGTTGTCTTACTTTCCCTTTTGGGTTATCCCAAAATGAATGCCATGTTTCCTTTTTTTGACAAGAAATATATGGTCTATATGATTTCACTTTATTCTACTCAAATCTCAACCACAACTTTTACTTTTCAACCACTTTATTAATAATTTGCCAAACTAAAACAAGTCATATGGGACAGAGGTAGTAGTTGTTTTAAATTAAATATCATATTTCTTCTTAACAAGGTTAAAAACTGAAGTGCAGCACTGCAGCCAACATAAAACATTGACATTGTGTTTACATGCATTTATAGTGTTCGGTATTCGTACAATTAATTGGCAGGATAAATTTAATGAATTAAATGCTGCAAACCCTAACTAGTTGAGTTAAGGTAGTTATGGCGATGATGGCAAATGGGCTCCCCCTTGCACTCTTCACATGCTATAATTTCACCTGCACAAATTCTCATTTGTCCATAATATGCTTTCATCAGGATACAGAGATGGTTCTTCCCATATGATTACCAGATTGTCCAGGAAATCCACATGCACGAGGTTGACAGCTCAGGGGTGGGGCTATTAGAGATAAGAAACGAGCTCACGCCTGAAGAGGAGAGGAGCTATGCCATGATGCATCTCCCAGGACAGAAGTCAAAGCACACGGGTTTCGCCTTTGACTCACCCGGTTATGAGTCATTTTTCGCTTCCCAAGCCGGCGTGTTTGCTCCTCATAGAGCATGGGACGTTGCCCGCAGGGCAAGCATGAAGTCACGCCCAAAGACGCCTCGGAGGACTTGACTGATTCTTGTTGACTACGATTCCTTACACCCCCCTTTTCTTGCAACTTCGGCATCTGTTTTGGTTAAGGTGAAATAGGTGAGAAAGAAACAAAGGGGGAATATACATGAGATAAATGGAGATACGCAGGGGAGAAATGAATATCCTTCCAATTTCTCCTAACAGCTTCTCTCTTTCCAAGCAACACACAAAATTTATCTATCCCCTTTCATGTCATTATCGCACATTTCTATCCTAAGCCAAACAAATGAGGCATACGGGGGTTATAATTTAGCCGTTTAGTTATGGTTCTACAAAGTATACTTTTAGTCTTTGATTCTTTTACGTCTTCATTGCTTCCCCTACTTGTAGAGTTGTAGTTGCGTTAATTAATGTATGTATTGGGTTAGCAACAGAGGTTGTATATTGTTTTAGAGAAGTGACACTGTATATCTATATGCTAGTGTTGTGGGACTGTACTGAATTAGTATTAGTACCAGACTTGATATAGCCTATAGGTCAAACCTTACAGGCAGATTTTGTATCGTTTAATTTACTAGTGTGATATGTTTGTGTGGAAATAATATGGTTCCAATGTGATTTAAGGAGAGAAATGATAACGAAT